ACGTAAGAATTTACCAAAATTGTAATTTAATTTGAGACAGAAAGAGTATATGAGAAATGTGAAAATTAAATCTCGACAAAGAAAAAAGAGGTACAAGAATATTACATCTAGACCAAGGGAGTATCACTTTTTTTCTTAACTTTTCTCACATAACGTACTTTAATACTCCCTCCGTCCTGAAATAGATTATAATCCTTTTTTCTCTCTATCCCCTCGATAACTTTTGTTTATTTGTATTTTTTCATTGAGTATTTGATAAAATAAAATATTCTTGTCATATCTGATTTTGTAAAACTTTTGACGTAGTTTTTTAATATGTAATTTTAATTTTTTATTGATATACCAATTTATAAATAAAATGATTTCAAAATAAAGACAAGAGATTTTACCTCGTAACTCCCAACTTGTAATGAAATTAGGGACCGAGGGAGTAGTTTTTTCATACTTTTGCTTTTTTTAATGGTGGGCCTCATACGTACAGGTCATAAATTTATTATATCTACATACTTTTTAGGGTTGAATATACGTGTAGTTTTTATGAACTAGGCGAATTTTATTTTTAATCAATGTAACTTATTTTTTGTTAAAGTTCCCCTACAAAAAATAACTTTGAAAATAGTCCTTAAAAGTAATTAGCATTTCTAATTAGATGAGATAATACATTTATTTCATACTCAACATCTTAGCCTTGCATTTCCAATTACGTCTGATATAATTTACAAGTCCTAAATTATGTACTTATTCATATCACACATCTCCAATTCCCAAATTTTCTTAAGAATAGTAATACAATAAAATTTGGAAATTGAAGTTGTAATTTGATAAATGACACAATTTTGAGCATGAGAATTGTGTCTGAAGTAATTAGAAATGCAGAACTAGGCTATTGTTTACCAAATAAATATGCTATGTCAACAAATTAAATTTTCTAATTAGGTATAAGAATCATTATCAAACCAAAAACTAAATTGTAAGAATTATTTAAACAAAAAATATTTTACCAGAATAAAAAATAAAACTTGTCTATTTTAGAGGGACTAAAAACATATTTACCTCTACTTTTATTACATTAAACGTAACTAAGATAATTTATTTGTAAAAAAACAAACTAAAATTGTTATTTGTTTAGTTTTAATGAAAACATGTACTAGTATACAATTTCTCCGTCCCTGAAAATATTTTTCGTTTCATTTAGTTTTCGTTGAATTCAATTGAATGTGAATTCATACTCTACTTATTTTGCTTTTTATGTTAAAATGTATATATACATGTATGTTTGGTGTATTGCAGTAAAACTACGTAGCCATGCAGGAGGCAGTTCGTGAACAAGGCTTAAATGTGACACCTGATGAGATTTTTATATCTGCAGTCAGAGGACATGATGCCAAGAATTGTGTTCATGGTGTTGGAGATCTCGCACGGAGCCTACCACGAATGCATGCAAGTGAGGTAAGACGTGCTAGCACCAGTTCTATGTGAGATCAGGAGGTTGAGAGAAGAGCTAGACGAAATTAGAGCTTCCCAAACGCGTGAACATTTGTCGATTAGAGAAGAGATTACCCGACTCTATGGAGGAGTTTTTCCACGTGGAAATGGAGATGGCAGTGGAGATGGAGGAGGGTTGAGGTTTGCAGGCGCTTGTTGAGTGTTTTATTAGAATTGACAAACATTATATTAAACTTAAGTTTTATGGTTATGTAAGTGGAGTTAAATTTTATTGTTAAATTGAATTTTTATAAATATTATTTGAATTTTAATTGAAGCTTGGTGATTTGAATATTTTTGGTTGTTTGGTACTCTTCATTTCTAGTCTTTGTTAGTTCTTTGATGCTGTGTTGTGATTTAAAGCAGGTTGATGTTGTTGTTGTTGTTGTGTGAAATTGAAAAAATTGCAGGGTTTTGTGCAATTGCTATAACTAACGGTCGGCATTTCCGTCTTTAAACTTAGTGACGGAACAATTCCGTCGTCAGGTTCCGTCGCTAATTCCGTTGTTGCCTGGCAACGGATTTAAAAACCGTCGTTAATTTTAATACAAACGAAAAAATAATGACGGAAAAAAATCGTCGTTACACCTTTTACCTACGGAAATCATGCTTTGGCGATGGAATTTTTCCGCCGCGATTTTAGCAGTTTTTTGTAGTGATCTTTCACATTAGTTTAAACATTAGCATGCATTAATTCAAAATGTTAAATGGTGGTTGAACCCTCTAAGGTCATGTTCTTTTGGATTGAAAAAATTAACTTCCAACTCCTTCCCATTTTTTATAGTTTCTTCCAACAATGTGTTAGAGTGCATCCCACATTGAAAGTCCAAGACTAAAAGTAATCAGTATATAAGCTCTTGAGTTAAACTAATTAATCGATTGGATTCAATCTTTTAATATGGTTCTACCCAAGTGTCTTATAGCCCAATCCAGTTATCTCTACTCCAATCCTAAATTCTATCATGGTATCAGAGCAGGTTTTGGTCCACCTCGTTTGTCAAGATGTCCGTCTAGACGTTCATTCCTAGCGGCCCGTTTGTCTTTAACCCAGTTGTCCGTATGGAGTATGTACCCAACAGTTTATGACCCGTTTAACACGATTGCTCGTCTGGAAGTCCATACCCAAGCACCCAGCGGCTCGTGGTCATTTAGGTGTTGGCGCTCAAAAAAAAGTCAAGGGAATGGGAGTTCATTTGCAAGTGGTCAATCGGTTAGATTAAAAATGACCTGGTTGTCCACTTGAAGGGGAGTGTTAGAGTGCATCCCACATCGAAAGTCCAAGAGTAAAAATAATCGGTATATAAGCCCTTGAGTTGAACTAACTAATCGATTGGATTCAATCTTTTAATGTGGTTCAGCCCAAGTGTCTTATAGCATAATCCAGTTATCTCTACTCCAATCCTAAATTCTATCACAATGACTTAAAAAAGGTATTCATATATGATGAATATACAATAACATTATAAATCTAAATTTATAAAATATCACCTTAATCTAAAATTAGAATTTTCTTATATATTTATTTAGGTGATCATTTAATTGAGAGAATTTTTAACACTTTAATTCTTTAAGTGTTTTCCAACTTATTTCTAATTTATCTAACTACTTCTAGTTTTTTCGAACATCTAACTCAAATTTCAAACCAAAAGAAAATAGCATGAAGAGTATCTAACTCAAATTTCAAACCAAAAGAAATAGCAAGAGTATGCTTAGTCAAATGCTCGGTACTTTTCTAAACAAAGAGTGGGAAAGAATGACTATTCACCTCTTTTTAGCGAGAATAATTGCTTCATAGAGATTGTTCCCCTCTTTTAAACATGAACGTAACTACTTACGTAGAAGGTTGATCATGCCCAATTTTTTTTTTAAATTTATTAAAATAAAAATTAATGTAAAATAAAAATTTTAAATAAATAATTCATTAAAATTAAAATTACATTTTCACACTTTACATGGACATGCAAATGGATATTTTTTTTTTGTAAAAGATCCAATTCTCTTATCGATTTACTAAGGTCTATAAAATTAGCATGCATTTTAAAACCACGTAAGAATTTACCAAAATTGTAATCTAATTTGAGACAGAGAGAGTATATGAGAAATGTGAAAATTAAATCTGGACAAAGAAAAAAGAGATACAAGACATTACATCTAGACCAAGGGAGTATCACTTTTTTTCTTAACTTTTCTACCATAACTTTAATAATTAATACTCCCTCCGTCCTGAAATAGATACAATACTTTTTTCTCTCTATCCTCTCGATAACTTTTGTTTATTTGTATTTTTATTGAGTATTTGATAAAACAAAATATTCTTGTCACATCTGATTTTGTAAAATTTTTGACGTAGTTTTTTAATATGTAATTTTAATTTTTTTAATTGATGTACCAATTTGTAAATAAAATGATTTCAAAAGACAAGAAATTTTACCTCAGCTCGTAACTCCCAACTTGTAATGAAATTAGGGACGAAAGGAGTAGTTTTCTCATACTTTTGCTTTTTTTAATGGTGGGCCTCATACGTACAGGTTATAAATTTATTATATCTACATACTTTTTAGGGTTGAATATACGTTTAGTTCTTGTGAACTAGGCGAATTGTTTTTTTAATCAATGTAACATATTTTTTGTTAAAGTTCCCCTACAAAAAATAACTTTGAAAATAGTCCTTAAACGTAATTAGCATTTCTAATTAGATGAGATAATACCTTTTTTTCATACTCAACATCTTAGCCTTGCATTTCCAATTACGTCTGGTACAATTTACAAGTCCAAAATTGTGTACTTATTCATATTACACATCTCCAATTCCCAAATTTTCTTAAGAATAGTAATACAATAATATTTAGAAATTGAAGATGTAATTTGATAAATGACACAATTTTGAGCATGAGAATTGTGTCTTAAGTAATTAGAAATGCATAACTAGGCTATTGTGTACAAAATAAATATGCTATGCAATGTCAACAAATTAAAATATTTAATTAGGTATAAGAATCATTATCAAACCAAAAACTAAATTGTAAGAATTATTTAAACAAAAAATATTTTACAGGAATAAAAAATAAAACTCGTCTATTTTAGAGGGGCTAAAAACATATTTAACTCCACTTTTATTACATTAAATGTAACTAAGATAATTTATTTGTAAAAAAACAAACTAAAATTGTTATTTGTTTAGTTTCAATGAAAACATGTACTAGTATACAATTTCTCCGTCCCTAAAAACATTTTTCATTTCTATTAAAAAGTTATTTTCACCCTTATTAATTCTTAACCTACGTATCACATCACATCTATTCACTATTAACCTACTCATCAAATTCTACTTTTATTTATTACATCCAAGGATGTTTTTAAAAACTCAACACCAAAATAAACTTCTTTTAAATATTTTAAGAACCAAAATCTATGTTTTCAAGGACGGAGGGACTATAAATTTTACTTTATATTTTTTTAATAAAATTTATTAAACAACACAACACTACCTTCAAATATTTTCAATAGTTATATCTTATGTCAACTTATCCCTGAGTCATCTCATGTGCTATCTTTACCGTCCCTGCAAAATTAAACAACCACCCTAAGAAAAATAAAAATAATGGATGTGGAAGCTAAGAAAAGATTTGGAACAATAGCATAGATGTCAAGATGTGGGAAAATAAAATACCTGCAAAATTTATAATAATGGTGATAAAAACTTGCAAAATTATGATTTGTATGAAGATAGAATCACTCGAATCAGGGTGACGCTTCAAGACAGATGAAACAAAGTTACGTTCAAAGATAGAATGCGATTTAATTTGGGATGGAGGGAGTAGTATATAGATAGATTTTCCCCTATACACAAAATATAATGTAGTATTTATCCAACAACATTGAGCATTAATGAAGATTAATTAACCTCCCATTAAGTACCCACATGCAGGTAAATACTACACTCCATCTATATTCTCATGTAATGTGACTCCATCTTGGTTGTTGTATCTATTTTCTCATGTAGAAATATGAAGCAAAAAAAAGAAAACCCTACTCTTATTCTACTAGTTCTTGATCTGTTTCATCTTCGCTATCATCATTGTCACCATCATGGTCGTCGTCATCATCATCTTTAAAGTTGGTTTCAGAATAGCCCAAACTCTCACTCCCATCTACAAGTTCATCAGCACTATAATATCCTTCCACGCCCGCTTCTTCCTGTTAATCATATTGACATATTACGGTATTTTGATCGCTTTATGTGCTAAGAAAGCTCACGTTACCTAAGGGAATGTAAGTGATTTTTGAACACTAAATGCAGCCTTACATTTCCTAATATGTTGAAGAAAAAACTAACCTCACTCTCTTCGTCATCAGTAGGATAAACTGATTCTAGTTTCTCATATAGTTCCACATCTCCATCATCTTTAACACTATTCATTTCTTCCTTGAGATATAAAAATAAAGACGAGAAAAATTTTGAACCAAGTTCAGAATGGATAGAAATGGCTATAAATGAAACAAGAGAAAGCAGTTTATTTTTCTTGGTTTTACTAAAAATATATGGCAGGGCAGATATGAAACATACAATTTCGGTCTTCAGCCGTTCCACTCTTTTTTTAACAGCTTCAATGTGTTTCAGGACAGCCTGTTTCACACCAAACGATAATAATGATAATGATAATAATAATTCACAAATATCATCTAGTGAAAAATGCAACATTGACAAGAAATTGACACATAATAAAGCCTTTTAAGGAAGTCAGAGAATAGTGTGTAAAACAAGCAAATTAAGTACCTCACGCCTCTGAAGTTCAACAGAACGTGCCAAGGCTTTCCTCTTTGTTAAAAGATTTTTAGGGCGAATGGTAGAAGGTCGTTGATAGCCCTTGCCTCGAAACACAATTATGGAATACCCCTTTGATACTTTGTCCACTGAAACCAATACGCCGCCACTCTCTGCCTCTAGGGCTAGGGCAATACTTTTCACTTGTTCAATGCTCTTAGCTTTCACAATGATCTTAACCAACTCTCTGTATTTCCAATGCAGGTGCATGTTCTCCACAGTGCCACTGAAAACCCCACGCCTCCCTGAAAAACAAGTTTTGTGTTTTCAATCAGCCCTCTCGATTCAAGGGTCTATTTGGATGGAGGGGAAGACTTTGAAAGTCTAAGTCTATATATTGACATGTAAATACACCAAAGAATGTCAAGGGTTTTGACATTTTGGGTATGGGCTAAACTTTACCTAGAAGTAAGAAAGCTTTCATCCTTGATCCCAGTTTTCTAAACATGAATCTCTCCTCATCCGTTATGCCATAACGATCTGCTGACTGCTCTAATGGCTTCAAATTCTCTTCCACCTTGGATAATGCCCATTCGGCTCTTTCAACTTTCCTTTCAGCCTGCCAAACAATTTCTCCTCTTAGAAACATAAGCATGATCCTAATTCATCGCATTTCAAATTTGTCATACTTTGTGATACTACCAAACCATGACCATAGCGACAACTAAGGAATATAGCTATACACTAAATAGTCCCAGATTGCAGAGAAAAATTTCTTTTAGAGCAGTTTTTAATGAAAACAAGTAAAATTCTTGCTCCATACAGAATTGGTTGTCCACTTTCTTAAAATTCTCATCTTTAAGAAATGGGTTTTAAATGTCAAAACAAACCCTTCAAATGAGTTTGTTACTAATTCTCGTCATTCGTCAACAATCCTCATAGGGTATTTTAGACAATTTGTCAATTTTTTTTATTGAATATGGAAAGTGGACAACAAATTCCAGACCAACAAAAACAAGAGAGTGGAGAACTATATCCAGACGGAAGGAGTATCGTACAATTCCCAAAACTGTCTCTCAAGTGAGTCCAGAAGTGTCAGATCATTTAAAAAATTTAAAAGAGAGGATTGGGAAAAGTAAAAAGTTAGTGTCGTGTATCTTAGAATAGTTGACATGGTTTTCAAAAAAAAATAGTTGACATTATTTTGGGATGGAGAGATCGAAAAAATAGAAAGCATAGGGTAAGTTATCATTCTTTAAAATGATAACCTTTCGAATCATAAACTCATCAAAAAAAAGACTTTGCATACTCACAAAGGCAAGGTTCCTTTCAAGCTTCCTCACAAGGTTAGCATGCATTAACATTTCAGCTTCCTTCATCACAATTTCCTTGTCATTCCCGTCCAGCGTTTTACCCCATTTAGCATTTGCATCCAAAGTTTCTCCAAGTGTGCCAGCCGTTCCCAAAGAATCCACTGCATGGACATTTGGAGTGACCAAAACAGAGGCGCGTAGTCGCGCTTTCTCTTCCTCATCTTGCAATGCCTTTGCAATCCTCTCCTTCTCCAACAGAGCTTCAGCAACTTCTCGTGATAAAAAATCTTTTCCTCTATAGAACACCATAAAGTCCTTGTTTCTAGAGAGCAGAATGCCCCCAGTCAATTTCTGTTTTAAGCGACCACACATTTTATTGAAAAACATTAATACTTGCATGTGATGGATTGCATCTATTGGGAATTCAGGTACATCAGTGAAATGAACTACTCCATCTATTCTCAAATAACTGCCCGTTAAGAAAAAAAATTGGCTTTTGAGATGATAATTAATTCATTCATGAACAGACAAACATATAAACACACCCCTATTGATTTCTAGGCATTAAATTTTAAACGTAACAAGCAAAAGTGATATGAATTTGGAGGGACCACTTAATCATTTTACTACTTCCTCTGTCCCAAAACAAACTTCAGTGTTTGACTTCACATAATTTAAGAAGTGTTGAAAAGTGAAAAGTGTGGTTGAGACTTGTTTAAAGAAGAAAGAAAGATTGTGAGCCACATCATGTCATCATTCATTCCTTAAAGGTAAAAACAAGAGAAGCGTGAAATAAATTATGGGACAACCCAAAAAGGGAATTGTGAAGTTTATTTTGGGATAAAGGGAGTATGCTCTACTCTATAGGTTTGCTAAATGAACGGTTATTGTGAACAACATGCATTTAATTAATGGGCAGTTATTTGAGAATGGAGCGAGAAATTAACAAACTAGAAGCATATGATCGATCTTTCACACTCAATAATACTACAACAAGCAAAGTTTTTATACCTTAATATGATCTGCCATTCTCTCACTTGTAGTAAGTTGCACGCCATGCTTTAGAGCCACCTTTGCAACAGAACATCTTTCCCATAACTTAATCATAGCTGATGCCAGACCTTGATGCTGCCTGCTTCTACCTGGAAACTCCAGTTAGATAAAGCCATACTAGCATTCTAGCAAGTAGCACCAATAGACGCATACAATTTTTTAAGGGAAAATCACACTGTAGTTTTAGTCCCGTAATGGTTTAAGAGTATGTAACTTGGGACTTAGTCTGCCCGCTGTGATTACAATTAGTCAATATTGTTAAAATCAACGTTTATATTGCTTTTGATGTGGGCATTCTGGGAAATATAGCCCCTAGTATTTAACAGTGTAAATGGTTATTTAAACACAAGAGACTAATTGTTTATAAACTCTAATGTTAACCGTGTTTGAATTGAAGCAAGTCTAGAATGGGTGACCCTTGGGAAGTTTCTCAGGGATGCGTGTGAGTGAAGACATAACCAAGCTTTAAAGACTTGTGTTGTTGTGTAGGGAGAGTCGTCAAAATCCAAAGTCCGGCTGTTACAATTGTAGAACTATTTTTTAAAAAAGAATTTGAAAGACATGTCCATGTTACATTTTGTCAAACAATTGAGGGACTAAAAGTGTGATTCTCCCCAAGGGAAAGATTCATTACCGATAGCAAAATGTGGTGGTAAAGTTCTTGCCAGTCTTCGTAAAGCCGTTGCCTCTGTATTTCCAAGTGTAGATCTAACCCCATAAGGAAGCACCCTAAAAGGAGGTTCATAACCTGGGATTATACCAGGGAGAAGATCTCCATCTACTGGCAATGGGCCATCTCCATGCCAATCCAAATATCTAGGACCAAGCCCCTCCAACAGCCTGTCCACTTCATCATCATATTTCACATCCACTTGTCCCTCGATATCTTTACTCTCATCTGGTGTACTCAAGTTGTCAAGAGCACCTTCCAAAGGGTTCTTAATAAACTTTTTATCAACCCTTAGAGATGAATTATCAGGAATCTCATTTTTGCTAAACATTCGCTTTTTTTGTTTTTCAGGAGATTCATAACTAACGCCTCTATAAAGAGCCACAGAAGTGCCGGACCTCCAAATCACCAACCCACCAGTTTTCCTCTGAATACCAGATGGGATGAATTAGCTACATTACATTGAACAAAGGTTTTTCCAAGTGTTATTTTATTCATCAAGGATTTGAAATGATCCCCCAAAAAAATACAAACACCTCCGAAGCAAAAACACTTTCAATTGAGCATCATGAACTTACCAAATACGCAGTATATAACTCGAAGAAACAATACCAAATGCTTAAAAAGATTCATTCAACAAATTTTGAACAATACCTACAAGGTATGGGATAGCAAGAGTGGCAGAAGGGCTTACCTCTAGAATTTCATGCACCCTCTTCATATTAAGTGCGGAATTACCTTCTATTTTCAACCTCACCACCTCAGTCGATTTCCATTTCTCGTGAATAGTTTCCACAACCTGTTGGTTAACACCTGCCCCAGTAATTCTCGTCTTGGTCTTTATCTGAAGAGCCAAATTTATCAGCCTTTTTAACTCTGGTGCGGGTAGAGTTACCTGAGCCAAATGAATTCTACTCTTTGGCCTCGCCGAATATCTCTCTTCCTCTTTCATTGACTGCTCCCATGGAAACCTAATCTCTCCATCAACATAAAAGACACTCTCATCACCCAGAGGATGTTTCTCAGAAAACCCACCTCTTGAATTTGGCAACATACCCTCTTCAACATGAAATATGTCCTCAACAGAACCTTTCTCAATTACTCTCTCCACTTCCTTATCCTTGTCACTGACAATATCAGTGTACCCAATTTTCTTCAGTTTAAGAACAATCTTCTCCATTGTGCTGCCACCATCACTATCTTCTCCATCCGAACCAGAAAATTCCCCACTATTTCTATAATTCAACACAATTTGAGGTCTTTTCAACTTATTATGCTTATAAGACTCGTTCCATTTTTCTAACCAAGAACAATCATTGTCTGACTGTTGAAATCCCCACCTCCTAGCATTGTTTCTCGGAACAAAATTTGATTTTTTGTGATGGGCCTTCCCTGAACTACTCTCTGGATTGAGAATTTTAGAATTTGTTTCGCATAAAGATTGTTTCTTGAAAGGGCCTGAAGAACTGTACCTGAGAAACTGCAGCCTTGTTGCTCTTGGGTAGAATTGATGAGTGGGCAAAAGAGCCATGATTGAGCACTACATCGGAGCAAACAACATGAAAGAAAGGGTTTTAGGGTGGGCTTTTGGTTTTGTTTCAAATTATCTTTCTCAGTGGTGGACGGTGGTGGTGGACTGGTGGTATGGCAGATTCCATGGGCATATCTCCGATCAAGCCACGCGTCCTTTGCTAATCCAACGGCCTATCTGTTTCAAAACTCACCCATGCTCAAACCCGACCTGTTTTTGACCAGAAAATATTTAATTTTGAACAAGAGTTTTGATGACTGAACCCGAAGTTGATCGAACCCAAAATGACTCGCTAAAATTAGATTAAACCCGACCGAACCTGAATTCGACCTGACCAACCCGCTAATGTAAGACTTTTTCAAAATCATATTTTTTTCTACTCGTTTTTAGTATATAAATTTATACGGAGTATTTTCAAACAAAATCTTAATGATATTACATAAATATCTTACTTTTTTCTAAAACTTATGCATTCTTTTAAATTTTCATATTGATTTATATATCTAAAAATTACTTTAGAGTTTAAAAAAACTAATACTCCCGCCGTCCCAAAAAGATTTACACCTTTCAAAAAAATTGCGTCCTAGAATCTCCTACCGATTTCTATTAAAAAACCACTTTTATCCCTTACTTTTTCAAACCCTACCTATCACATCATACCTTTTTCCTAATAATCTACACATCACATTCTACTTTTATCCATCACATTAAGGGTATTTTTGGAAAGTCAACACAAAATTATCCCTCCCTTAATTTTAACTTTAGTCAAAATGTGTAAATCTTTTTGGGACGGAGGTAGTAGTTTTAATACATTTTTTTAATATTTTTAATTTATCATTACAAAATACAAGTGTTAATCTGAATTTAGAATTTTTAAAACCAAAGACATAACTCATTGGGTTAACCCGAACCCGATGAGTGGATCATGAACATATACTCCGGGTAATTCTCAACTCGAACCCATATCTGAAATAACCCGATCTCGACCTGACCGATCGATTTGTCAGCTCTGCTCCGGAACCCTGGAGCTTCTCCCCAGCACTAGTATTAGTTTGACTTTTTAAAGTTAAATCTAATGAATTTTTGTAGGATATAAAATTTAAAAATAAAATTTATATATTCCTTCGAAAAAATACTTCGATTTTTATTTTTCAAAAAAATTGACTCATGCTTTGATGTGCAAATGGTGTACAATTTGTGGTGTAAGTGTAGCGTGACCCTATTTTTAAAACGCACCTAACTAATCCTTAAAAATCCAATGCCCCACAGCCCATTTTCCAGGTGAATGCAATATTTATAATTTTGACCTAAACTACTCCCTCTGTTTGCAATTGATTTTTTTAGATATTATTTACGATTTAAACTTAACTCACTTTGTTTATTAAATCTTACTACTTATTTTACTAAAACTAGTACTCTGACCCGTGCCACGCACGGGATCGAACACAATCTTCCCCAGTTCAAAAAATATTTTTCAATGTAATATTTTTAGATTAAAGAAAATATATTTCTAACATGATTTTTAATACTATATTTGTAACATGGTTTTTAATACTCAATTGTTATCCAATCGTTATCAATAGCTACAACTGTAGCTATTTGGCAAGAATAATCAGATCTTCATGAATCGGTTAGCAAACTTGTGGAGCACCTTTTAATGCTCAAGCATCCAGATCACTATCTCACTCAACAAATTTTGCTACATTTATTTTTTGTTTATGACAACATATTGGAACATAATGATCCTATTATGTACTTTCCTTTAGTTCATTGCAAGTGTGTACTGAAGCACTAACTAATACCGAGTTATATTAGCTTTACTTATATTTAATGTTGTATATAATGCTAAAAGGCTGTGAAAAAATGAAGAAAGGCAAAGCCTCTATCACCTTTAAAAGAGAATTGGACCAAGTCTCTATCGCTTTTAAAAGGGAATCGGCCAAAGACTCCATCGTCTTTTTGAAGGACATCTCTTAATTCCAGAACCATCTACTACCTTGGTTTTAGAGTGCCCCCTATTCAACAATAATTACATCTGTACATTCAATTGGTAGTTCAATGTCATAAATATAACATCTGTACAGATGGCTTTATATCTTAAAGAATTCACCTTAAACTAAGTATAAAAATCCTTCCAGATCTATATGTATATTTTTTATATTTTTAAGAGAATAGGAAATTATAGTAAGATAGAGTATATTTAATCTACTTATTAAGGAACACCAAGAGCAACTAAATTAAATGGCTATGGAAAATTAGGAAAACAAATTGGGTGGATTTAATTTCATACACCTTAACTCTATGCACAACAATGACGCAACTGCCAGCTGAAGATTCCAGTCACATCGGGAAAAAAATATGCTGGACTTCTTGAATTAACCAAAAACTAATCCAGCAACTTCGAACCCAGCAACTTCGTAAATTAGTTCCAATTATAAAATACATAGTATATAATCTCTGCTGCTAAAGAAATCACATAAAATATGAATATTTTTATGGAACGTCGATCATTATTAGTTGGCATATCTAGTTTATATATGCTCACATCCCTACCAAGCTAACCGAGATTATAAGTATTATAGCTTGAAATAGAGCATATTCAGATAGATGTTACAAATTTGGGGGCTCCATAACTTCTCTGACACATTTTAAGAGCCAAGAGGGCAGTAGATAATGTACCTTAAATTCAGTATGTACTTGCAATAAATTGTATATTTTTCCGCACATAAATATACACATAGTAAAGCAAAAAATATAGACTTCAAGAAGACACACAAATGGTATTCCACAACAAATTCAGAACAATAATAAATCCTTTTGCTACAAAGGACATAAATATTGAGTTCCAAAGGACATTATAGTAGATGTTGTTCGAAAGAGATGAAAAAAAGAAAATTCAAATGAAAACGTAGGCCACCATTGATAACATAAAATTGTCATTTCGATTTTAGACAAAAAAACAAACATGATAGTTAACGCATACCTTGAATTCGGAAAGTCGGTGCTTTCTCTATTTAAGTATTCTTTTCTAAGTCAGAGCCATATCCGCCTTGGCTTCAATTAAGTGGTTTAAGTTCTCTTTGTCAAGCTTGCTATTTGTGAAATTTGTGAGTCCTGCTTCTCAAAGTGTCGTACATGTAACAATAATGTACTCTTGCCAACACCAGGATCTCCACCCACTTTGTTTATTAAATCTTACTACTTATTTTTGTTGGAATATTGGAATAATAATATTGCTCTATGAATTATAGAGTACATGATAGGGTATATATAGGAGAGACTCCTAACACAACTAGGAATAGAGAATGGAAACCAACTAACATACAACATCTACCACAAATAGGATTAGGAAGTTGACTAATGATGAAACACTACCACAACCAATACTACCATAAGTAGTACTATTATTATTGTCTAACATCCCCCCTCAAACTGAACTCTGGCTGAAGCAAGAGGAAGCTTGGAGACTAGCTAGAAACTGGAAACTTTGTGAAGAGAAAAATCTGACGTACGCTGATGGTTGGTGACGTCGTTGGAGAAGAGAGAAGTCTGACGCGCGTCGTAGCTGCTGACGTCATTGGATAAGAGAGAAGTTTGACGTGCGCCGGTGGCTGCTGACATCGTTGGAGAAGAGAGGAAGGATTGACGTGCGCTTGTAGCTGCTGACGTCGAAGAAGAACAGAGTAGGCTACTGAAGGTGTCTCTTTGATTGAAGATCCTTAGACATTCTTTGTCTTTTTCTTAGATCCGGGCAATGCCCTATTTCCTTCTTGAAGGAGTGAGTTGTAGAGGTCTTCTTTCCTCTTTCACTACTTCCCCTCTTGGCTTTGCTTTTGTGCCGATTTACTTTGAATTTTTGTTGGTTGAACAGAAGAGAAAAAGAAGGGAGATTGATGATTAGAATGAGTGATTTGAGAGAGAAAAAAGTGGGTTAAGAATTGTGATGGAAAAAGAATTTGGGTTTTAGATTTTGATATGGTGAATTAGAGAGAAACAACAATATTTTTTTTTCTTTTTTTGAGAAGATAAGATGATCTGAGAGAATTTGTGAGGAATTGAGTTTTTTTTGAAGAACCATGGAGATGACAAGAGATAAGTTCCTCCTTTGATAGTTTTTTAATTTTTGTGTGATTTCAACAAGGGTTTTTTTTCTTCTTTTTTTTCATTTGAGTGGAGAAGTTGATTTGAGGATAAAGAAGGAAAAGAAAATAGAGCTAAGGTGAACAAGGTGGAGCCGCCGTCGCCAGAATTACCGGCGGCAACGGCGGGAGCAAAGAACTCTTTTAGGTCACCAAGAGCGGTGGCTCTGATACCATGTTAGAATATTGGAATAATAATATTGCTCTATGAATTATAGAGTACATGATAGGGTATATATAGGAGAGACTCCTAACACAACTAGAAATAGAGAATGGAAACTAACTAACATACAACATCTACCACAAATAGGATTAGAAAGTTGACTAATGATGAAACACTACCACAACCAATACTACCATAAGTAGTAGTATTATTATTGTCTAACAATTTTACTAAAATAAGTGGCTTTATCATCTTATACGAGTATTTAATAAAAGTTTTCATGTATTATTTTATATTATAAATTACTCCCTTCGTCTAACAATAATCTTCCCATTGCGCATTATGATATTTGATTGGATTATTTTCAAATTATTTTATATAAAAAAATGGTATATAATAAAAAACAAATGTTTTATATTCAAAAACTTAATCAAAAGATATATAAAACTAGAGGTAACATTGCTATATCATTTTATCAAATAGATATAAAAATTTGACCAACAAAATAAATACTTCCTCCATCCTAAAACTATCTTCCCAGTTACTAATCACACGGTCAAACTTAAATCATTTTCTTTTACTTGTTTCCGCTACTTATTTGATAAAATAATATAGTTTTGTCACATCTTGTTTTGTAGAACTTTTAAATTTTATTTTTTAATTTTACACCTACAATCAAATAAACTGAAAAGGAAATAAAGTCAGTCAAATCTTGTAAACACAAACGGAAAGATGATTTTAGGACGAAGGGAGTATAATTTGACTTTCTGAATAATGAACAAGAACATTATTACTGGGTATATATTTTTAACAGAAATTTACTCACCGGGGACGCGAGTTTTGTTGAAAGAACTCTCAGGTCCCTCTATTTTTAAGAAGACAACAGAGGTCTTTACATTTTGTTGTAATGGTTGGAAATGGACATTTCATCCAATATTTCATCTATAAATGTTAATAAATATATTTTTTTCCTATTCTTTTCTAAATGTTTTAAGGTAATAAATTTTAGGTCGCTCCTTTTTTTATTTCTTTGTTTTTCTTTCATTTTGTTACTATTTTTTAAAGTGTTATTTTAGAATTTCTTCTATAAAATCGTATTAAATATCAAAATTATTTGTATTATATTAAAACAAATGAAATAAAAAAAATTAAAAAAAGAAAAAACAAGGTAATGGCAAAATAGGGAAAAACGGTATTGAAAAAATAGGAAACAAATATATTTATTAACACTTACAGATGATGTATTGGATAAAATGTTCCCTCCCAGGCATTACAACAAAATATAAGGACCTCGATTATCTTTTTAAAAATAGATGAACCTGAAAGTTATTTCGACAATGAGTAATTTTCTGTATTTTTAAAGTTTAATGTTTGGGAATGGGGAGTACTTAGATACTAGAACCTGTATGGCCGTATTCAACTACTCCCTCCGTCCCACTCTTTTTGTCTATTTTCATTTTTGCACACCATCCAATGCACTTTTTTAATCCATTTTATTTTGTAATTTGTATATTAAAAAATTATAAAAAATTATATATTAATAATCTATATGTTAAGACAAATCAAACAAGATCACACATGACTATTTTCAGACTTACACATTGAGAGAATTTGATGAGTCAAAGTACTTTGATGAACAGTTCCAAAAGTCAAAATTGGACAAAAAGAGTAGGAGGGAGGTAGTAATTTTGAAGCAATCGCACTGTTTATCCTCTCGCTGGTCAAACCGTCAAACTCAGTAACTCACAAGCTCGAACCATTCACCACCACAAATGGCGTCGTCCCCGCCGCCAACCCCCGCCGTCCCTCTTCGTCCATGGCTGCAATTCGCGGACTCCACAGCTTTAAGCCTCCCTATCTCCGTCTCCGACGCTACCTATCGGATCAACCAAAACCTTAGGTACTTCGTCGGGAATTACGTCCTTCTCATGTTCTTCGTCATCCTCGTCAGCCTCATCTCCCGCCCTCTCACTCTCATCGTCTTCCTCGTCATATCCGCGTCGTGGATCTACCTGTATCTGTCCCGATCGGAGCCGCTGGAGCTATTCGGCTTCGACATTGACGACCGCATCATCTTAGGGTTTCTCAGTTTGATCACTCTGATCGCCTTGTTCGCCGCCAGGGTTTGGAGTAATCTCTTGATTTCAGTTTCCATCGGAGTTGTTTTAGCTATTGTTCATGCCGCGTTTAGGGCTCCAGAAGATCAAGAGGCTTCTCCTTACGAAGGGTTGCTCAATGTCGTCGATAGCCCCAGAGGTAATTACACTAGGGTATGAACTTCATGTCTTTGGATTAAAGCTCAGTACATGGTTTCAATTGGGATAGCTTTAGGCATCAAATGCAAATGTTCTTAATCCAAAATTGATATAAAAAAAAATTGTGTTTATCATTGTTTCCCCCAAAAACTTGAAATGATGATCATGATATTTTGAATGTTCCTCATGAATTTCTGCTGGGAACCTGCTAATTTCTTGGGTGTCAGGTTGACCTTTTAATTCAATTTTGATAGCCTTGAATTTAATCTTGTTCTGTTTTACGCTCCAAACCTTGTCCTGTTTTTTAGGCCTTCAATTGGAAAGGAGTTGAGGGTGTCACTTCGAATGTCTGTTTCGTGTTATTGTGTGTGTTTGCACGAAAGGTTTTAGGTTTTGTATGTCAGAATCATTCCTTCACTGTTACTTTCAATGAAGTTTTGGGTACTAAATGTCATTCCAACTCTAAAAATGGGTTGGTGTGTTGGGGGGGTAGGGGTTTTACAAATAACTTTTGAAAATAGGAGGTTTTGGTGCCCTTTTTGTAAACCAGGGGCACCCATGCTATCAGCTCTGCAATCTAATTTGGAACTCTGTCTCTGGACAAACAAAAGACTCGACGTTCACTACTGCTGAGTATCTGTCCGGACTTAACATTTGATAGGATTGGTAGGAGTTCGTGGATACAACAGCGTAGTATGGTTGTAGTTTCTTTGTTGAGACCATGCCTGTAATGTGTTGTTGTGGCCTTGTGGATGTGTGACTGTTTTTTTCACCTCCAAAAATACGGGCTTTTGATTTCTTGGAAGCTGTCTCTCCGTGCCTTAACACTATGTTTGATTCAAGGAATTTGGAAGGAAAAGAAAAGAAAACGATTCTCTCATTTCCCTCATCAAAATGGGAGAAATTTGGTTTTTCATCCACTTAGTACATTTGCCTTGTCATTTTCTTTTCCTTCTACTTTTCTTTTCTTTTCCTCTCTAACCAAACAAGAAAAACTGTTCCACTTCATTTTCTTTTCCTTTCCCTTTCAAATTCTTTGAACCAAACATAGTGTAAGAGAAGAAGTAAGGTGTGTGTAAATCTTTTCAACTTTTGAGTCTGGGTATTACTGGCTTTGCTTGGCTTCCGGACTAATTTTATGATGCAGGTTCATTTTTGAACTATTTTTGTGATGCTGCAACCTTTTTCTTGCATATAGATTTTGCAATACATAAAGAACAAGAACATATCCTAGTCTTGTCCCACCCATACTCCCATGTTTCTCATAGGAAACAAGCTAGGGTACCCCAATTTCTACACCATATGCATAAACTAGCACAATAGGTACTCTAATTTTGTACACCACAATGTATGCCTATGGTGTACAAATTGAGGTACCAATTGGGGTATCCCTAGTATGGCTCTTCTAGTAGACTTTGGGCTCAAAAGGAATAAGTGGAACAAAAATGTTAGGGGCAGAAAGAGAGTTTAGTTAAATTTTTTGGCAAAGTGGACAAAAGGACTAATATAATGGTAAATTTGTCATCTTAAACATGTCCTTGATGTCGTTTCTACCTGCCCCTATCACGTGTTCATAGACCTGACAAAAAATGACTTAGATCTGCTTTTTACCCAAGATCTGACCCGAAAATACTGAGTTTTGAATCAAGGTTTTGTTCACCGAGTTTGAAAGTGACACAATTCGAAATGACATGCTAAAAATAGGTCAAACTTGATTGAACCTGAACTGGACATGACTGACTCGCTATTATAAGAATTTTTCAAATTCATATACTTTAATACCCAGCATGAAATATAATGTTATAAAAATCAGATTATGTTGGGGGGGCGTTACGCAGCTGGCAAAGGTGAGTGTCAAAAGGTAAGACCCGAGTTCGATTCCTAGCTACTGCGCTGGGAGGCAATTATGCTAAACATATGACCTCTGCAAGTACTAGGTGCAATTTCTACTCCATGCCACCAATTTGCTATAAAAATCTAATGAGTAAATTCTATAATCAGTCTTTTATAATAAGAATTTTGCAAATTTAGTCTTCTATTATCAAATATTTTTCTTGTAGTCATTGTTTTATGAGTGTCTTTTCACAAATAGTGTTTTTTATCTTCTGTCATGTTGATATCAATCTTGTATCCAGTGACATATTCTGATTTTGGTGATTTTGGTTAGACAAACTATACAATAATAATGATTATGACTGAGGACTAGAACTTTAACGAAGGATTACATTTGTAGACTCTGGTTGTAGTAAAAAATGACTGCAATTCACAAATGATGCATCATGAGTGAACTTTGAAATTGTGTATGATAAGAATGATATATGATCATTTCAAGATTATATTTTTAGCACTCAAATTACTATCAACATGACAAAACAAAAATTATTTGTGAAAAGGTGCCATGAAAGAAAAACCACGGAGGTCATATTTGATAATAGAGCACTACAAAGAGAGTACATATGTTATAAACGACCAATTATGAAATTTACTCAAATCTAATTTACCTTTTCTCAGTGACCGTACGGTCGGGTTTGAGATGATCCTCGGCGATGACACTCATCCTTTTATGAAAATAAAATTATAATTATATTTCTTTTCTTATTACTCGTTTTTAATGTATAACTTTATATTTTCGTATAAAATTTTAATGATATTGCATAATTATCTTTCTTTTCAAAATTTATAAGATTTTGTTTTTTTATTTGTAATATTTACGCTGACTCATAAATATTACTTAAAATTTTAAGAAGTGAATAGAGGTCATAACCCATTGGATCGATTCAAACTCAATGACATTGAGTCATGAATATGCATTTCTCAATCTGAACCTGAGTTTACCCGAATCCGAAGTAATCCAAATCCAAAGTGATCGAACTCGAACTCGACCTAATTGATTGATTTATCAGCTCTGCGTATTCATAATTGTTTTTGTTAAGGATGACTCATGAGTACAATTGTATGTATTCCTAATAACACACCAACATTAGTACGGGTCATCTTTACATGAGCCCAAAAAATGTGACATTTATTCAAAACGTACAATATAGTAGTACTCCACTAGAGTAACTTGGAACAATAACTATGCATTTTGTTGCCTTCTTTTATATGAGCACCTGATGCCAAATCACATCACATGGGACATGGGATTAAACTAATTGAAGACTTGAAGTATCATTAGAAAACTGAAAATTCCATGTTGGGTGTAATCCGCGGGTCATCCATTAGTGAATGTTCCATTAGTGCGATAAGACACCGCATGTGCTCATGTTACTTTGTTCGGTCTTGCCAGGGGTACACGAGTGGTGTACCCCAAATGAACACCATATACACCCCCCCTCATTCCATAACCAACTCTATCCTCATCTCTCCTCCTCACTCTTTCTTCCTGCTCAGATCCATGAACTCCCTCCCTCCCTACGGATGATCGACGCAGCACCAGGTAACATCATTTCCCTTTCTCACTCATTTTCTCTTCCTCCATAGATCTCGCATCTCTCTTCCTCCCCACCGGTCGATTAGCTTCATCTTCGGCACCCCCTGAAGTTGCACGCCGTGGGCTCCCCACAGCCGCCTAGAAGCGTCACAACGGCGCCATCATCATCATCGTCGTCACCGGAGCAGTAAATTATGGCAGAGATGGTGGTGCTGTTTTATTCAGATTACACAAATAGTAAATGTCTGTGTTCAAAAAAATAAGGACATTTAGTGTATGTGTGACTAAATAGTATTAATTGTAATTTTTCTTTTCTTTTTTAAACGTAGAAAAATTTGTGAAATGTTCTTGGTACTGTACTATTTCATAGATTTGAAGGGTGAAATTTTCTTCTAAATTACACAAATAATAAATGTCTGTGTATAAAGAATTACAGATTTTTAGTGTTTGTGTAAC